AATATCGCGAACGTACGAAGCATTAATATTCGCACTTCACCAACAAAGGATTGTTGCCAGATGTTTTTTTTCGCAGATACTACCGTCCACCAAACTAGTTTCGAGCTGTAATTTCATCTGCGCCTCAGGTATGTCTAAAAATAACTTTAAATATAAGAAAATTGAATTTTTAAAATTTTAAGACAACTCTCAGGCTGTCCTGTTTCCGATTTTTGAAGATGATATTGGAAATATCTTCTAGCATTTATACGAGATGCCTACGAGCAGTGGCGTGTTCCAACAACGAGCGAATGGATTAAAGTACGAGTATGTGCAAATGAGTCTGCACATCGCTGAAATGCACCTGTGCAGCTATGCAGTTTGCGGGTGCATTTGCTGTGTGGACTCCTTAATGCACGCACGTGAATAATGCAACAATGAAACTGCAAATAATGAACGTAAACAATTCCCTGACCATTATTTACAATTTCGCTTTAAAAGGATACCTCACGCCGTGGATACTGCAGTTTCGCGTAAGGACAATAGAAAAATTCCTTTGTTTTTATTGTTTGATCCGCCAGCAATTCGTATAACTTTTTGTTTGTTTATATGAAGTTATGCGCTGGATGTGTGGGTGTATGACCAGCAACTCCAACAATGCTTTGTTCGAACAATGGAATCCTTTTGTTGCGTTTCAACAGATTTTGTTACACAATTTGCGAATTTCTTAAAAACTGTTAAACCACAGAAATTCTCTAAATCGATTTTCAAATCCAGTAACAGTTTTTTGTTCTAAAAAAGAATGAAGCTATTGTGGAAAAACATTGTTTAATTTAAATATTGTAATAGCTTTTATTTTAACTCATATTTGCATACGTGTTATATCGCGGGAGTGGCCATTGTACAAGGAAGGTGTCCACCGCATCAGATAAAACTTTTCCTTACGATTACTACAGGATGAGAAAAGCAAGGCTTTGTTTCATATATTTCAGATATTTTTGTATGAGTTGTTCTGTGTTTTCATTGAAATTGAGAGCTTAGATTTCCCAAAAAGATATAATACAATTGATGTCCAAGCCCGAGCAACTTTGTCCTCTGTAAAAGTTTTCTTATCCTTTTTGTTTCAAAGCATAGGGCCACATTATTCTTCACAGTTTGTTGGTAAGGTGCTTTTTATTTTCGTATGTATATAACACTACTTATTCTTATTCTAAACTCTTTTATGTTCTTGTATGTGAGAACATGGAGGGGATAACTCTTATTTTATTTGCTACTTCCAAATAATTGAGATAAATTGCAATACTGTACTAATATGTGGATAGTTGATATGTATAATAGTATGTTCGAATCATTTTTAATTATCTATATCCCTCTCTGAGTGAAGCATGAATTCATTTTTTGATGAATTAATATTATTAATAATTTTCACTGCTCTTATTTTCAATGTTGAGATAAAGATTGCAACAATAAAATTTGTGGACAAATGAAATTCCATTTTGGCTTGGGCTCTCATTGCTTTTACTTTACAGGCAATGAACTAAATCCAATTTACTTTTCATATATAAAAAGGAAAAATGTTTCCCTTACCAACATAGGATGAAGTAGCAAATGCCAGATAAGCTTGACAAAGCATGCATCCAAAACGAGACTTCTAGTTAAAGTCACCATCCTAAAAACAGATACAAGTGCAAGAACTGTTGGGAATAAAAATTAAAACGAAACCAAAAAAAAAATATAAATATCCAATTGCAATTTGAATAAATTTAGAATTTCATTGTTGGCTTTTGCGCAATCCAGAGTGGATGCAGTAAGCACTAAATGTCAATTGCAACAATCCAACAGACATGTCAACATTATCCTTCAGCTGAAGTTAGTAAGACTTAAAAGTGATGAAGTTAAAACTAAATGAAGTCGTATAATTAAAAAAAAATACGTTAAAAATATCAGTTACTTCGGTTTCCACAATGGAACCTAAACCTAAATGAAATGGAGTCCAAATTGTAGATTCCTACTTGCACGGTGTTAAGCAGACATTGGTGCAAATTTTGAGAAGTCGAAGATGGTCTGATTATCCTTATAGAGTTTCAGAAATTTTATGAGTACTACGAAAATTGATTTCTTTAAAAAAATGTATATGCTTCGTTTAATGCACTGCCTGCTTAGTTATTGCAATAATGTGGATATATCTAGTGGTTAAGTTTTGCCCCGAAGTCCAAATATTTTTAAATGGGTCTGCATATTCGTATATTTAGTATAGCGTAAATTTTAAAAAAGTCGAAGTGTGTTTTAATAAATAAAAAAATGTTGTTATAACTAATAAGATGGTTTTACTTGTCCAGAATTCAATTTGAATTAAATATGTTAAACCGGATATGCTACACAAAACCTATAATGGCAATTTATTGTGTCAGATTTCTGAAGGTTTTAAATTTTGAAGTCATTGAAGTAATTATGTGGAACTACAATGCATCTTCAATGGTTTGTTCTGGTGAATTAGAATTTCTCTTGTTGATTTCTGCATTTGAAGCAAATTATTTTCATTTTGATGCTCATCCTAATTTAATTACATTTTTACAAAATTAAATTCGAAATTTTTCATTGTTACGAATTCACACAATTAGTTTTTATGCAAATGAAATCTACAAACAATGACAATTATGGCCACAAGGAAAGCAAACATCTTCCGGGTTCTCCTTGAGGAGCAGTTCGGGCGTAGGACGATGAGTTACCACAAAATGTTGTAATAAAATTTTTTGAAATTAAAATAGAAGTGTTGACAAAAATTATAACATCTTTTGGGATTTCATTTCAGTGCAGCATCCGTTGTTTGTTTGCTTGCCTGTTGGTGCTCGCTTTCCTGGAGCTGATGTCCTTATTGTAGACCATGCAACAGGATTGCAATTTCGGACGTTTTCTTACAATGAAGTATAATAATACCAGTATAGAAGTAGAAGACACCGGCAAAGTCAAAGGCAAAGGCAAAGGCAGAGGCGGAGATGGAAAAGGAGAACAATACCAAGTGGAAGAACAAAAATGGCATCTGTAATAATAGTAACAATCATAACAGCAACAACAACCACTTTCAGAGGAGCAGCAGGAATACAATCGCATAAACTGAAAACATAATAAGACAAAGAGAAGGCGACGCAGTATTGAAATGCAAGTCAATTGGGAATGAAATGAAAATGAAGTGAAAACTTTAGTGCAACTGTGGGACAAATTGTTTTGAAAGCACAAGTAAAAGCGGGACGACAAAGAAAATAAACTGAATTGTTTGCTTAAGTGCTTCTTTGAATACACAAAAAAAAAAAATAATGAATAAATAGAAACGTTCAAAAACGCATCAAAAATATGAGGAAAACAAAACAGATAAATTTCATGAGCGGGAACGGTGCTCATGAGTTCACTTAATGACTTTATTTTTCCACACTCACTTAAAAAGTTTCTTATCAGCAGAGTTGCCACATATACGCTACTGTTGCCATTAAGCATTAATTTTTAAAACTCTTTTTGGTTTGGTTGAGTTTTTGTTGTTGCAGGAAATATGCTAAGAATTCACTAAAAAACAGAATACGAATTTAAACATGAAAAGAAAATGAAGCAGTTTTATGTCATATATGGATGTACTTTAAATGAAGGAAAGAAGCAACACCAAGGACATTCGTGTAGTCCCATTGGAATCGCGTTCTGCTGCCATACACGTATAACACTTTCTGCCGCTTAATGTAACTGAGCTCAATTCAGCTGAACTCGATTCGTCTTGATCCATCAAAGAAACATCACCAGGATGAGCTTATGAAGGGCATTCTAAAAGGATGTTTCTTCTTACATTGTAGGAACCAACGAATCTGTAACAACTTGCAGAAAAGAAAGTGCTGGTGTTCACTAAAAATCCATACAAACACCAAACACACACACATATATATACATACACAACGAAAGGAGACTCAAATTAAATGAAATGAAGTGTGAGCTCTCAAACCCGAAATGTAGGTTTGCATATTCCCAGTAGAAAACGGATCGATCCGTCATCGAAGACGTCTTCAAGACATGGATACATACATGAAGACCGATCGAT